TGCACATTTCCCATGTTCCAAGGATTTGACAAACCACAGGCTTCTGGAAATATCGCCATTTCCTCCTTATCACCCATGGAGATCATGTTCAAATCTCATGCACTGGCCTGACTTCCCAAGACATCTCCTTGTATTCTCTGCTTACAACACACAAGTCTCTTCAAGCTGACCTCCACACAGCTCCCATCACCAGTTCTCATTCCTCAAATACTTTAAAAATCTATCTCGAGCCAGGAGAACATGGCTCAGCAGTTGAGCATCAATCTATGATCCAGGAGATTGAAGTCTGATTCCCGGTCAGGGCACAAGCCCAGGTTGTGGGCTCGATCCTCAGTGGGGGTGTGTGCAGGAGGCAGCCAATCAATGACTCCCTCATCACTGATGTTTCTGTCTCTCTCCCTCTCCCTTCCTCTCTCTGAAATCAATGAAGATATATATATCACGAGCCCTAGCCGGTTTTGCTCAGTGGTTAGTACATCAGCCTATGGACTCAAGGGTCCCGGGATCGATTCCGGCCCAGGTCACGTACCTTGTTTTAGGGCTTGATCCCCGGCCCTGGTTAGGGCTTGTATGGGAGGCAACCAATCGATGTGTCTCACATCGATGTTTCTCTCTCTCTCTCTCCTTTCCTCTCTCTCTGAAAAGCAATGGAAAAAATATCCTCAGGTGAGGATTAAAATATATATACATATATGTATGTATGTGTGTGTGTGTGTGTATGTATGTATCTCGACACCACTGTCCCCAGTAACTAACTTCACTTATTGAGTGCTTATGTGCCAGATTAACTAATGAGATAGGAAAAGTAATTTCACACAACCATCCATACTTCATGTGACTGACACTACACTACACACTGGAGATACAGAAGTAGACACAGTCCTTGGCTTCACATAGCTTACAATCTAATAGGATAACAGAGTTAATAAACAGTCATTAAGGCCTGGCCAGGTGGCTCAGTTGGTTGAAGCATCATCCCATGCACCAAAAGGTTGCAGATTCTATTCCAAGTCAGGGCACATAACTAGGCTGCAGGTTCCATCCCTGGTTGGGGTAAGTGCAGGAGGCAACCTACTGATGTTTCTCTCTCACATCAATGTTTCTTTCTCTTTCCTTTCCTCTCTCTCTAAAATCAATTTAAAAAATATATCCTCAGGTGAGGATTAAAAAAATTTACAACAGCCAACCAAATAACTGCACAATTATAAACTAAGATTAATGCAATAAAAAAATGACAGAGTGCTGGAAAGTCTTTAATGTGGGATCTGATCTAATATGGAAAAATAAGAGAAAGCTTCTCCAAGGAAGTAATGCTTCAATTCAGATCTGAAGGAAGAGTAGGAATTAACTAAATGAAGAGGACAAAAAAGATAATTCTGAGCAAAGAGAACAACATGTCCAGAGGTCGTGGGAAGAAGGGAGCACTATACACCAGAGGGAAGAGGACAAACAGAGAGAGTGGTGGGAGACAAGCCATGTAAAGAAGGTCAAGACCACCCAGGGCAGCAGGTGATATCAAGCTGTTGGTCTTTATTCTGACAACTGCAGGCCAGTGAGGGGTGAAGAGAAGGGTCATGACAGGATCTTCATTTAAAAGACCATTGCAGCGGCAGAGCAGAAAGTAAATGGAAGGGCTGGTGTAGTAAGTGGTCCAGGTGAAAGAGGACGGTGTCTGGGATTACGGCTGAAACAAAGGCAGTGTGGGAAATATTGAGGTGATAAGCAGGACTTGGTGGTGGACTGAATATGGGAGATGTAAGAGAGGTATGATACATGACTCCTAGGTTTCTGAATATGAATTCTTGAGGTCAATCTTGAAGTACCTTTGAAAAAATCCAAGAGAAGAGATATAGCCGAGTGCTATTTCAAGTGTGGTCGGCAAACTATTTACTTCTGGTTCCTGATAAGCACAGAAAATGAGAATAGATGTCCAGAAGCTTTTATTGCATTTTGACAAGAGTAATTTTACATGTGTTGAATATAATAAAAATTTCTATTTTTTAACTTATTTTTCTAATAACTTTTGTTATTAATCCTCACCTGAGAATATTTTTTCTGTTCATTTTTAGAGAGCAGAAGGGAGGGAGGGGGAGACACACACATCAGTTGGTTGCCTCCCCTCAAATCCCCACCGCCAAGGATAGAACCTGTAACCCAGGTACTTGCCCTTCATCAGGAATGGTACCATTCAGACCCCTGCCAAACTCCCCAGCCCCAATACTCAGGCCACCGCTCCAACCAGTGAGCCACAGCAACCAGGACTAGAAACTTATTTTTATTGTATTTTAAAACAGTGCTGATATGTGGCATATCTTAAATTTTAAAACCTTCCCTATAGAGTTGGAGAACCATTGATCTACAGCAGTGATTTTCAACTGGTGTGCCCCAAGAATTTTTAAAACATGCAATATCTGACTATTTAGTCAGAGGCACTGACCTCTTTTCCCTTAGATTGTCAAATTTTAAAAAAATGACAACAGCCAACCAAACAACAGCCCTCCAGTGTGAATGAATCAAAATTATACCTATTTTTCTGTCAGATCAGCAAAAAGTATTTTTGGTATGCTGCAGAATTTTAGTAATTAGTTTATATGTGCCATGAGATGAAAAAGGTTGAAAATTGCTGGTCTAGAGGACAAGTGAGTCAAGACTGAGAAATAGTATAAACTAGAACTATAAGTCTCAAAATGCTGAGGGAATACATGGGAAAACTCTGGGCAGTGAATAAACTTGCCAAAAAAAGGTTTATAGAGACAAGAAGGGTTTTAGACTAAGAATTGAGGGGCTTCAACATTCTTTTTAATCCTCAACAGAAGATATGTTTATTGATTTTAGAGCGAGCGAAACATGGGTAGTTGTTGCCTCCCCACACGCCCCAACCGGAAATGGAACCTGAAAACCCCGCAACCTTTTGGTGTGCGGGACAACGCTCCAACCAACTGAGCCACCAGGCAGGGCGAGGAACTTCACCATTTGGAAGATGAGCCAAGTACCCACAGAAGGAAGAGGAGAGAGTAGAAAAGTCTGACAGAGGCGTCAAATGAAGAAGTGGAGTGCTTCCAGTTGGAGGAAATGGTGGCTCATGGCCGAAGCGGCTGGAAGGTCAAGTGCGGTCAGCGATGCGCCTGTGCGGCCCGTGAGGCGGGTCCGTTGCCGGGGCAGCTCCAGGGGACACCGGTGGAGGTCGAGCAGGCTCGAGCCCCGGAGCAGAGTGGCCCCCGGGCTGCGGGAGAAGGAGGCCTCTTTGAAGACGGCGCCGAGGGCACTAAGGTTGACGGGGGAGGACAGCCGCGGGACAGGACGGGCTGTTCCCCCGCCCCGGGGGACGCTGACTCAAGGGCAAGAGCTTAGCTCTAGGGCTGCCTTTAGGGTCCACGGGAGACAGACACACGTCCTGCCACCGGTTCACTCTGACCCACTTTTCAGGGCTTTGCCGATCAAAGACTTTTTGGGCAATCCCGTCCTCCCAGCTCCCGGGAGCGGAAGACTTGGGGGACGGCTCTAAGGTCACACACTTCTGGGCTCTAACGTGTAGCTGAGAAACCTGCAAAATGGGCACAACTAACCCCGCACCCGCGTCCCAGGGCGTCCGCGAGGCTTAGACTTGAAACGGACGGACATACAATGAAGCGCTTGCCCCCGAAACCAGAACCTGTGCAGTGCTGCCAGAAGCAGCCAGCTTTCCGTCCCGAAGGCGCTGGGACGCCCCTCAGGAAGGATGTCCCCACATCTTGACTGAACTGGGCTGTTTCGTCCCCTATACTCGCTGGACAGGTGCAATGTTGCCGTTAAATATATCGTCCATCTTAAGTACGGCAAAGTTGTCTCAAGTGCAACTTGGCAATTCAAGGCAATTTACAAAAGGGACCGTTGAGCTGGTCATGGAAAGGGCACTTGTGCCTTCTCCGAGGCGCGCTTGGCCCCGAGCCCCTTACACCTCGGCCTCGCCCACTCTTCACAGCGCCGTGCCTCCAGCCCGACCTCCCGACCTCCGTCCCCTCAGGTGGCGTCCCCTCGGACTCCGACCGCCCTCCCACCACTCTCACCCTTTTCTAAGAAGTTGATCACCGCCAGAGTCCCGGTCGCCGCCGCGAAGCCGGCTTCGGCAGAAGCAGCCGAGGCCCCCGCAGGAGAGCGAGCCGCGGAGGGCGAGGGCGAACCTCTGTCGGAGCTCCGGTTGGGCCGTTTTCGGTTCTTCTTGGAAGACATGATCCGCAGGCAGCCTGGAAGTTGAAGCAGCTAAGCCGGCTCAACGTGCGCGCTTTACTACGGGAAAAACTTCCGGGGCAGAAGTCAGAGAGGCTCCACCCCCCGCGCCGTAATTCCCCAAGTGAAGCGCAAAAAGGGGCGGGGAGGAACCGACCATCTTCAGAACCCACGGTCTTTGAAGAGGTCGAAGAGGTTCTTCTGCAAAGGAAGACGGATTAGGTGGATGGAAGCGTCAGTTAGATTGTACATTCCTGAAAGACAGGTTTTTTCCCTATCTCCGTTCGCTTTTCCCATCCCTGAACACATGTGCGTTGAATTACACTATTGTGGTGAGGGAAATACTGGTGGGAAGGTTTCTCCCCGTTTTCCTGGAGACGGGCAAACTCCTGAGAGGAGGTCGTGGACAGGACTTTCGAGATCTCCTTGGTATTGCCCTGCAAAATGGTAAGCCCAGCTCAACTCTGGGGAGTTGTGCGGCACTCTTCTCAGGTTTACGGTAGCGCCTCCTTTCCGCAGCACGGAGGCGGGGCGATTTGGGGGTAGTGCGAGCCGACAGCGTGGGCCGGCGCGGGGATGTTACCTCTGCGGAGTAGGGGCTGCCTGCGCTCGGTGCTGGTCCGGGTCGGCGGCGCCTGGCTCTCGGCCCGGCCGCGCGGCACCTCAGGCAGCCCGGGTGGCGCGTGGGATTCCGCCGCTGGAGCCGGCTTGCTGAGGGGCGAGGTGGACAGGTTCGGGGGCGTCTCGGTGCGGCTGGGCGCGCTCGACCGCCTGGACGCCGCCGCCTTCCAGAGGGGCCTGCATGGCAAGTGCCTGGGCCGAGGGCCCCCCGCTCCCCGGCTGCCAGCGAAGTAACCGGGACCCACACGCCTGCGGGGCACCGAGCCCAGAGGGCGCGCGTGATCGCACCCTGGTTCCCGTGCCCTTTGCTGGGAGGTCTCTGAGGCGGTTGGGGGAAATGGTGACGATCCTAGACTCTGGGATCGGCTGCCCCAAGTTTCTGGTCCACCGTATAGCGTGTGACTTTCACCTTGATCAGATTCTGTAAACCACCTTTTCCCCTTCGGTGAAACCGGGTGAGAGCAGCGCAGGGGGGCGCCGAGGCTTAAAGTGGATAAAGGGCTTGAAGTGCTTAGCACGGTGTCGCCCAGGAGACTTTGACGGTATCATCACTTTATTACTCGCTGTGCTGCCGGGCACCTTGCCCAGACTCTCCTACACGTGGTGGAGCAGAGGTTCCTCGTGGTCATATTTGCACTCAAATCAGACCAGGGGCTGTGGCGTTAAGACGAGTTCGCCTGTACTTAGAGGACAAGGCTTTTGTGATTAATCAGGGAGGATGTGGGTGGCTTGTCTTCAGTGAGAAAACTCCCCTCTCTCTGAACCTTGAGTTCAGTGATAAGAAGGAAAGTTTGGAAGGAAGAGCCTTCACTTTGAGAGAAGCAGCCTTGATTTGGTGGAGCAGCCTGTTTTTCAAACTGCCCTGAGGCTCCTTATCAGATTGAAGGCAGAACACAGAATTGCAGCCAGGGAAAGATGCTCACACTAACAGGAGCTTCAAATAATCTCATTCCTGTTGAGCAGTATGGCACGTGAGCATCTATGTGAGTATAATCGAGCTGGTTTTTAATTTTTTTTTAGAATTTCTATAAGAGTTTATTTGAGCCAAACCGACTACGTCGGGGAGCAGGACCTCAAGTGCTCCTATTTCTTTATTCATATTCATTCCCAAACGACTTTTTTCTTCTCATTTTCTCTCCTGCTTGTGAATAATTGCTGACTCCAGCAATATCACCAGTAGAAGAGTCAATGTTCATCCTCTAAAAGGTATACGGACATGTGGCCAGATACAGGTTCTTACTGCACACACTTGTCACTTGTCAGTGACCAATCAGGTAATCAAGGCCCAGGTGACCTCAGCAAGGCAAAGCAGAAAGGGGGCTGGCTGGGTTTTGAGTCACACATCCAGATTTCAAGTTCCAGGTTCTGTCGTTTGCTTTCACCAGGCATTTAGGCATTCCACCAGCAAAACGATTTGTCTCTTAGGTTGCTTATGTGAATTATACCAGCCCAAATTACTTTACTGGATAGATGTGGTGGTCCAAGATAAATTATATGAAACCTATTTATAAACTAGGAAGTACCGTATACTTTTTTAAAAAATAAATTCTATTGCACTTTAAATTGCTAGACAGTTTTAAAAACCTTACAAATACTAATTCACTTAATCCTCAGAACAACCCTGGGAGGTAGGTACTATTCCTCATTTTAAAGATGGTGGTACCGAGGCACAGAAAGATTCTAACTTCCCCGGGCTCTAGAATCTGTGCTGACTGCACTGAACTGCCTCCAAGAGCTACTGCTGGTTTTGTTGCTATTGACTTAATCAAAACTGAATGGCACTGCCTATAAAGAAAAAACAAAATAATCTGAGGATCACATGTGCCCTATGTCTGTCACTGTGTTAGCCACACTGTCTTTACAGAATTTTCTAGAACTTGTATACATTATTTAAACCACCTGAAATTTATAAATTTTAAAAAAATGATGACAGAACTCTCAATGAGTAAATAGGCTGTAATACTCATTTATAAAGATTAAAATGTAGGTCTTATAAGGAACATTAAAATGGCACTTTATTTTAAGTCAGCTGATTTGTTCATTCTATGACTATTGAGGACCGATTATGTGCCAAGCATTGTGCCTGGTGATATGAATATAAAGGTCACCTCTGTACTGACTATTCACAAGGAATTCAGTCTGGTGGGAAAAATCACTTAAACAAGGTGGTAATGATAATAAAACATGGTACTTCCCATGCTGCTGGTGTGACCAGGACATTTTGGGACCCCCACCCCCATAGATAACTAGTCTGGGAAGCAGATGCTTAAAATGGTTTCCTGGAGGAAGTGACATTGTGGGATGAGTTTGAATGTATTCCGCCCCTCTCACTGGCAACCACTGACATTTTATCTTTGACATTTCAGCTGCGATACAGCAGTGGCGATCGGAAGGCAGAATAGCTGTCTGGCTGCACGTCCCCATCCTGCAAAGTCGATTTATTGCCCCGGCCGCCGCGCTGGGCTTCTGCTTTCACCACGCGGAAGCGGACTCATCCACGCTGACCCTGTGGCTGGGAAAGGGGCCCAGCAGACTCCCTGGGTACGCGACACATCAAGTGGGGGTTGCAGGTCAGTTTCTAACACAATAATCAGTGTTAACTTTTTAGAGTTCCCCCAATTTCTTCTGACAGCTTGAGTGATGGTTTATCCTCGTGGAAAATTTTGATGAAATGATTATCCCTGGGACTATTGCTAGTGCTTTGAAAGGAAGAGGGCAGCTCCGAGCACAAGCAAGTTCAGTCTTTAGTTTTCCAAAGGATGTGTTTGAACATGTTTCCCACAGATATTTGAACTTCACCACTCAAATAATAACACTGAATGGGGACCAGGGAATAAATTCATAGTGGTAAAACATATTAGTACTAATTATGTGAATTTGTAGAAAAGATAACTTAGATTGGATTTAGGATAAAGCAAACCAGCTTTTTAATGGTTTGAACATTACTTCTTAAAGTCATTTACATTATTGTGCCAAACCGTTGTTTAAAATAACAAAATATAAATATATTATAGAATTTCAAAGTTGCCGATTAGCTTCAGAGATAGTCTTGAGAGGCCTTGGTTTAGGTTAAGACTGGTTCTCAAATTGTGAAGTTCATCAAAATCACCTAGAAAGCTTGTTTAAACAGATGCCAGGCCCGACCCCCAAGAGTATGATTCAGAGGATCTAAGGTGGGGCCTGAAAATTTGCATTTCTAGTAAGTTCTCTGCTATGGCTGTTCTCTTTGAGAACCAGGGTTAAGAACATTCCTAGATTTCCAGAAAAACTAAAATAGTAAAGAATCCTTATGACCTAAAATAAATGAAAGCAATAACACATGTTAATTAGTAACTTAATAATAATTTTATTTGCCTTCATATAATTTATAAGTTTTTTAAGGTAGCGTGCACCTTTGAAATCATTTAAAGGAGTTATTCAGGGATGTCTAATGTTTTCTCTGTCCATGGTCTCAGGTACAGACACTCGGAAACTTTCCTTTCAGCTCTACTTCATAAGACTACTTGAGAAATTTGATGACAGCCTCACACTTCATTAGAAAGTCGTACAGATGGTTGTCCATTCATTGGTACAGACTAAGAGTTTCCAGTCATTACTGCAGAATTGGTACTATGTGCATAAAGAGTGTCCCACGAAGGACTTATTTCTATCTATGTACTATATTTTGTTTTGAAGTTAAGATATACCATAGGAGTTCAGGGAATGAGATTCTGGAATTTGACAAAAATCTTGAATAAGTAGAATTTGAAGTGGTTTTGGGGGATGGGGACAAGATAATGTAAAAATTTGCTCTAGAAAGGTACAGAGTTTTTTAGGTGAAGAGAAAATAGTTGACATTTGTCACAATAAGCAACAGAAGGTGGGTGTGGCTGGTGGAGGGGATCAAGACCCCGAATATGCGACTTTGGCATATTATTTTAGCTGAAGACAATGGAGGAACAGGAGGTAAAGGAAGGTTTCTCTGCCTCCCCCTTTCTACCTAAAAGTAAGGTATAAGTTTCTTGTACCAGAAAGGAGAGAGCATTCTTATCACCTGAGACAGGAGTTGACACCAAGAATAGTCTGTTCAAACTAACTTACTAACACAACCCTTGTATTCCATTAGTTCCCCCCATATGTTTCCTAGCCATTTTCCCACAATTTATCTCCCCTCATCTAAACCCTTTTTTTTTTTTGTCTTATCATATATCCACAATTTATCATATCGTTCTTTGTTAAAGTGGTCTAACTGCTTTTCTGGAATTGTGTTATATCGCTTCACCTCTACCCCAGGCGACACAAAAATGTTAACACCAAATAAAATTTGTATTTTTCCCTATTAATCTGTCTTCTGTCAGTTTAATTCACAGGACCCAGACCCAGAACCTAAATGAGTAGAAGAGAAATCTTTTCTACCCTGCTAGTGTCTGCCTCAGTGCCTTTAAATCCACTGGCTCCTCTCCCTTTATGCTCTTCCCCAGGGCTTTATTTATCTCACTCTTTAGAGCCAAGGTTTCTGCTCAAATACTTCCTCAAAAAGCTCCTAATCTTCCTGTCTAAAACAGAGTCCCCCCACGTCAGTCCCATCATTTGTCCCTTTATCCAGCTGTTTTCCTTTATAGAACTTATCACAATCTGAAATTATATTATTTCACTTATATAATTTCCCCCACAATAATATAAACTCCATGCAGGCAGGTATTTTATCTCTTGTTCACCACTGTATCCTCAGGTTAAAGACAGCATCTGGCATGAAGTCAACGTGCAATAACTATTTCTTGAACGAATGGTTGGATAGATCTTTAGTTGGAAATGGCTGCCCTCTGAGAACACAGCTATAGTGTGGTGAAGGGGCCATGTTGCTGTGACAATGTCTGCTGGAAACCAGGCCCACTGGATGTCAATCTTAGAGCTGCATGAATGTGGGCAGTAAAAATGATGCCATTAGTCATGGGATTATTGTGAGGAATACCTGGGGTAATGCACATAAAGCACTTGGCACAGTCTCTAATGATAATACTATGCTAATAACCTCTGTTTAATCTCTGATCTCTTTAGATTTAACTTTTACGTTGTGACCAGCAGGGGTCACTCACACTGTGCTTTAGGGCTGCTGAGTTTATCTTTGGAATTTTTTGCTCATGTTTATATTGAATTCACTAGGGAAAAGTTCAATTTGAATAATCACAAATTATTAAAACTTAAGAGTAGGTTTCCTTGGCATTTCTTTGGCATTCTATCCTTTGTAAAATCCAATTATAGTTTACATTTCCTAATAGAAGCCAACATTAATGTTAATTATATCTCACTTAGTGGTTTTCCTTCTTACTTAAAAATACTTTGTTTTCATTTCAGAGAAAATTGCTCTTCCTTGTGCTACACACACCTATCCCTTTCTATATTTTATCTCCAGATAGCATTTATCACCTTCTCATGTTCTGTATTATTTATTTTGTTTGCTATCTCCTTTAGAGACACACACACACACACACACACACACACACACACACATACAAATTATGAACCCTGTGAGGATAGGGAATTTTGTTTTGTTCATCATTGTATTCACTGCTATCACTCAGGAAAGTGCCTGACACATAATACTACATATAGAACCTATGTGTGTTATATACAGAAACTCAATAGTGAAAGAATGGATGGAAATATAGAAAATATTCTATATTTTCCCACATTATGTAAATACAATGTTTTTAAATTATATCATTTAAAGGAACCTAATACAAATCATTGAAGTATTATAAAAGACCCAGGATTGCCCAGAGAAATAGAAAAAAACAACTATTTTGAGTACTAACACCTAGCCAAATACTTAGTGTGCTAGTCAGTGCATATGATGAATGAATAAATAAAAGGAATGAACTAGAACTTAAAACATATATAAAAGAAGCAAGTGTTCCAAAGGAATATACTGGTGTGTTTTAAAGCTATGTACATACGTAGTTAACAAATTTAAGTGGCTTCAAGGAGGTCTTGAACTGAATATTGACATGTTTAAGATTTGGATCACCAGGGGACACAACCCATGTTCTATACATAGTGATATGAGGAATACAAATGAGAATGGAAAAGTCAACTCATTAATTCAATAAATATTTGTAAGCACTTAAAACTGTCTGGACACTAAGCTAATACTATAAAAGGATAAAAAGATTAATTTAACTGTGTATCCTCAGAAACAGACAATCTAGAAAAGCTTTGCAGACGATTATCCTACAGGGCAGCATATGCCAGATCCATCACTGGTTAAAAGAACCTGGGTAACCAAGCCACCAGCTTCTTGTTGGAGAGAGTACATCTTCATGGATGAAGTGGTATTGAATTAGGCCTTCAGGATGGGTAGGATTTTAATGACCATAGAAAAGGATATGGGAGTCTTAAGATGAATGAAATTAGTATTTTTCAATTATCTTTTATTTTTTTGCCCCCAACAGGAGCTGTATTTGATGAAAATACTAGAAAAATATTGGTAGTCCAAGATCGAAATAAAGTAAGTCGCTTTTGTTTATAACTTGCTTTCTAAATGTTCAGTTCTCGCTAGAGAAAAATAAAATATTGAAATTTTTATATGGTCAAGGAATTATAGTTTAAAAGTTATTTCTAAGCAGTTATGGATCATTTGGCCATTCATTTAATCCATAAATGCTTAGGCAGGCCTTGAAAATGTCAGGGTAACCTCACTGTCACTCACTATTTTATGGCTACAGGAAAATTATAAATGGCTGTATTTAATTGGGAAGACAACTTTGTTTTCTAACAGACTATCAAGACCCTCTTCCATTCATCCAACATTCATAAACTCCTACTCTGAGCCAGGTGCTGAACACACAAAGATTAGTAAGACAATACCCCTGTTGTCCTGCATCTCACTACCTATGGTGAAAGCAGTCATACAACAGATGGTAACAATTTACTTTGCCTTTAAAAAGCCCCTAAAGAATTCTCAGAAGAGGTGACATTTAAGTTGGGTCTTAAAGAATGAGTAGGAGCTTACCAGGAAAAAAGGGGTAGAAAAACAGACTGAGAAAATTAGAATTTCATACATAATGGCACAGAGTTTAGAAAGGAGCTGACTTGGTGTCTTAGTCCGTTCAGGCCACTATAACAAAAATACCGTAGGCCGGGTGGCTTGACAGCGAACATTATTTCTCACAGTTACGGATGTAGGAAGGCCAAGATCAAGGCGCCAGCGGATTTGATGTCTGGTGAGGTCCCACTTCCTGGTTCGTAGACATTTGTCTTCTCACTATGTCCTCACATAGTGAAGGGACACTGGAACTCTCTGGGATCTTTAATAAGAACACTACTCTCATTCACAAGGGCTCCACTCTTACGACAGTCACCTCTGAGAGACTCTCCCTTATAATACCATCATCACATTGGGAATTAGGATTCAACATATGAATTGTGTGGGGCGGGCATAAACATTCAGTCCATTGAACGCAGTGTGGAAAGAATGGCAAAAAGTTCATTGTGGCCAGGAGTGCAGGCAGTGGTAAAATATGTGACCTGAGAGCTAGCCTGGGAACAGAACGTAAAAAGCCTTGTATACCAAAATAAGAAGCCTAGGCAACCAGAACCAACAAAGGTTTTTAAGAGAACAAGTGTTTTCATGATCACTCAGGAGTAAAAAAATGAAAGAGAATAATTATTTTGGTACTTTCTCAGAGTTCAGTAAATATTGGTGGACAGAGTCAAACATTTTCCCTATATGTTTTTAAGTTTTAAACAACTATTGGCAATGATAGCTGAAAATAGTATCACACATTTCTCAGAAATATTATCTAAAAGCATTCTCATAGTTATAAGTAACTTTTGAAATTTTAGTTACTGCAGGATCTCTGGCTCAAACTGAGTTTTATCAACAGAAATTTATGGAGTATATTTGAGTATTTTGTGCCTGGCCCTCAGTGAGTCCCCTCTTCTTCCTCCTGCCTTGCAACCTGTTGGTGGAGCCTAAAAGGGAGTCCCCTGGCAAAGCAGAAATTGGTTCGTAGGATCCCAGCTCTAGCATCACTAGGCACAGTATGGAGGGTGAGTTTAGAGCTGAGAGACAACCATAGCATCAGCTTATTAGAAATACACATTCCCAGGCCCCACCCCAGACCTGCTGAATCAGAAACTCTGGGGATGCTGCTCAGCAGTTCATGTTCACAAGCCTTCCAGGTGATTCAGGTGCACGGTCAAGTTTGAGAACCGCTACACTAGCACACTGGGCACACTAGCACTCTGGGCTCCAACTTTTCCTTTGCTGACTTGCAAACCTGCCAGTGATTGGCTCTTTCAGAATGAGAATGCATGCTTTTCAGAATCCAGTCATGTCCCTGTGCTTCTGGGCAGCTGGGACTGGCAGAGGCTAGAGACAAACTCAGATTACAGAGGACTTTGGATTCTATGTGGGTTATGTAGAAATGATACTATTGGGGCTTCACTTTTTTTAAAGATATAAGCAGAGATCCGAGAGCAACAAAATATGAAAACTGAGTATTCATGTATAGTTCAGTGTTGTCATAAAAAATATAAAGTGTGCCTTAGCTGGTTTGTCTCAGTGGTTAGAGCGTCAGCCCGCAGACTGAAGGGTCCTGGGTTTGACTCCCACGCATGTACCTCAGTCACAGGTCGGATCCCCAGCCCTGGTGCGGGCGTATGCAGGAGGCAACCAGTCGCTGAGTCTCTCTCACACCAGTGTCTCTCTCTTTCCCTTTCACTCTCTCTGAAAAGCAATGGAAAAAAGATCTTCAGGTGAGGATTAAAAATATATGTATATATACATATATATATACACACACACACACACACACACACACACACATACATATAAAGTGTGACACTAAGCCATATTTAATTTCTGTATTTTGGTGTTAGGTGGAATTTAAGCATAAATGACAGCTATTAACCATAAATAATTAGCTCTCTTTCCCAACATCTGAGCCAGTTCGCCTCCTTTAAGTGCCTCCCTCTGCCCGGACATTGCTGTTCAAGCGTTTCTTGCAGAGGAAAGTTTAACCCTCACCACAAGCATAGGCACACACTCAGACACAAAGCTAAAATGATACTCAAAATGTGTCCTTTTTCCTTTCCTACCCATATATTCCAGTCCTTCACCCAGCCCCATGATTTTGAGAAATAAAAGATCTAAGTGGCTTGATTTTGTAAACTGGGTGTTATAAAAAAGCCAAGTCCAGGCCATGGACCTGTTCGCTCACTCACTGGGCATTCCTGAGTTCCTGTACTGACTGCATTGTAGGCTCTGTTCTAAACACTAGGCAAACATAGTGAACAAAGCAAAGTTCCTGTGTCTGGAGCTTATATTCAAATGGATAAGATACAAATAATCAGCAAATGAATAAATAACATATAAGATGGTGGTGTTAAGAAAAATACAGCGGTACAGGGAGAAAGAGAATGGGCTCGCTATATTATGCATCAATTTTTGTATGCCCCGCACCTAGCACTCAGTAAATCGTTGTTGAACAAATAAACAAACTTATTAAGAGATCTCTGTGGCAGCTTCTGTCTCATTGGTAACAACAATAATATTGTAGCTAATGTATTTTCTAAATACTGTGGCTCTGAATTCTGAAAAGTGAGAATAGCATTAAAACTAGAACAATGGAAATAAAAGATAACCAAATTTCTGTCACCTGATCGAGTTGGAGTAAAGCAAGAACATGAAGGTCAAATAATGCAAGAGAACCAAAAAGACGAGGCTAGCAGGGCCATATCCTTTTTCTAGGTTCTGGAGATATGGCTGAAAGAAATTCAGCCATACCTGGGGGTTCTGTTTACACAAACTCCTGGTTCGGGTTTCAGCAGCCACGCCCAGGGAAGTTTCTGAAGCTAATCATCTGCTTAGGGAAACAGAAAATGTCTATGAGGTTAGAAAAATGAAAAAAAGAATCAGAAAATAAATCATTCCTATTCACCCATTCTAGAAACCCTAAACAGACTGAGTTAGTCTTCAGGACAAGCTTTAAAAGAAACAATGCTATTAAACTTGAATTGCTTTAAGAGAGAAAATAACTCTGAAAAAATGCATTAAAAATAATACCCCTTGTTGATATCCAAAATGCCTATTTCTTAGGCTAGCAATTCCTAATACCGAGGAAGAAGGGGTTTCAGAGTGATAGATGGGACCACCCTTATGTCATCCAGTCTTCTCTCTTCCCTTCTTCCCTCCACACGGACACCCTCCCAAAACATCAGACTTTTAACTGGCAAATGCAGAGGAAAAATTTGTCATAACATTCAACATTCTGAAATATGGAATTACTGTGAATATGGTTTAAAATCACACATTTTCATACCTTTTGTCATGTGTAAGAATCCGATACGCCTGAGGACCTAGATGCCACCCACTCAAAGCTGGAGGGGTCATATAAGCGAATGTTGGGTAGCACCCAACAAGCATGAGCACTTTGAGAATATTTCTTTTAGAAGCGAGTGGAAAATTCCTTTTGTGAGATTAGGGGTAGAAGGTTCATGGAATTTTACACTTGAAGCATAGAGATGTTGTGTCTTTTTTCACAGGAAGGGAGAATGAAGATGAAAATAGATAATAAACTCAAACTGACATTTATCAAAACTCGTCCTTACCCCTTCCTCAGTAATCTTTCCCTCATGAAACAACATAGTGGAATGACAGAACTTTAGTTAAGTCATTAGCATAACCCACAAGTAGCAGGTAGATACAAACACATTTGCTAGCAAACTTAAAGTTCAGTTCAAATTCACGAGCCCTGTGGAAGTCTCAGCTACAAATTCTGGTTGGGTTACACAGAATATTCTAGTGAGGTCTGAAGAAAAGAGCAAGAAGTATATGAAAAAGCAGCAAGTGGTAGTTAAGGATTAGTGAGAAAATAGATAATGAATTTTTAAAATTTCTTGAAAGATGGATAGCATCAGGCAGCCTGGATTTTTACTGAGTTTACTACACCCTAGCTGTGTCACCTCAGCAAGTTATTAAGTCTTTTTATGCCCTCAGTTTCATCACTTCCAAAATGGGAACAATAGTCCCTCATGGGTAACTGTAAAGTTTAAATGTGTGTAATTTTTTTTTAAATTTTTTTATTGATTGATTTTAGAGAGAGGTAGGGCGAAAGGAAAAAAACATCAATCTGTTGTTCCATTTATTTATGCATTCACTGGTTGCTTTTTGTATGTGTCCTAACTGGAGATCAAACCCGCAGCCTTGGCCTATCAGGACGACGTTCTAACCAACTGAGGTACCCGGCCAGGGCTAAATGTAATTCGTATAAAAACATTTAGTGGTGTCTTTAACGTAATGGACATCCAATATACATCACCTAGTATTTGTTTTGGTGATGATGATGATGATGTTGCTCAACCCAATTAGTGGGGAATATTCTTTAATATTAAAAAAGAAGATATACTCATCTCTCCATTGATCTGATCTACATTAACCAGGTTTTCAAACCATCTAACTTAGGCCTTTCTACCTGCCACTTAGACTAACCACAGGCTGAAGCTTTTTGGGGGGGAAGGAGGAAGGTTTTTTAAAACAAGCTCTTTAAAGCTAACTGGTGCCAGAAAATGTCACAAACTACTCACCAGCATAAAAATATACTTAATTTTCCCATAGCTAAGGTTTGTGAGATAAAGAAAATCAAATTTGTGTGAGCTGTTTTCAGTCCTTATATCTAGCATGATCCCCCTTCCAGTAAGTTCGTATCTCCAAATTTAATCAACAGTCAATCTCCAATTATTTGTCATTAAGTCTAGGTTAAAAAAGAAGTTGGCTTTTATTGTTTTGGGGAAGCATTTGTATCTCTTGTTAGAAATAGAATTTATTGTGGTCAAGTCCAGTATCCTACTGGACAAAAGACTGCATCGTTTCTATAAAAACATAGCTTCTGGAACCATTTCAGAATGGAACTCCCCAAAGGCAGTGCATTTATGTAGATATCCTTAGAGATATCTTTCTACATTAATAAAATAAAACATAATATGCGTTATAAATTAACCTCAGGTCTGAGCCAGACACAGAAGGGTGGAAAGCCTGAATTATGTACCCACATAATCAGCAGTCTGTGGAAACTCTGGGAATCGTGCCACTGGTCTCCAACCTAGCATAGTTGGGAAATGACACACTCTTAAAGAAAGCACCCATCCAGGAAATGAGAGGGTCACAAAGCACACCAGGAAAAGGTCCATAAACTTATTTTATGAATGAAGAGTAGAAGGTGTCCTGGCTCCAAGCCGAAGCGCCTTTATGACTCTCTCTCTTCAGCTTCGATCGTGGTGATGGGCAGGTGTAACAGACCTCTAACAGGAAAAATACTGTCCCATGCCATTTCATAATTATTTTTAATCAATTTTCCCCATGTTTATCCCCATTCCAAGATCAGGTCTTCCCACCTGCCCCTCCCCACCCCCAAAAAAGGTGCGCCAAAAAACCCCCATAAACTTAATCAGTTTTATTCACACTATCCATGAAATCATTAACACAGAGAACAAGAGAAACCATAAGGTTAATATATCTGATTAGACACACAGTACAGAAAATAAATGTGAAATTAAAAATAGTATACTTCAGTGATTACATTTATACTGTATTTTCTACTTATTTATAGCAGCATCTGTAAGATTCCTCTATTTGTTAATAGTTAACTAGCAGCAAAATTTTTTAAATTACACAAATTCAGTAGATGTTTCCCTTCACTGTTTCATTCATACAGAATTTATCACATTAACCAAACAAAACCACTTCTATTTCCCAAAGAAAACAGTGGGAAAAGAATTCATAAATTACCAGTTCCCCCAAAAAGAAGGGAGGAATGAGGAAAGAAACTGGAAAAAATTTACATGCAATTACCCAAAAATACTCTCAACCACCTTGACCAATACGGGTGAGTATTGTGGGCCTCCATGTATGTGTGTTAGTGAGTAAAAGCTGTGTTGACTTTTATTTTCTGACTTTATACTGCAGTTGAAAAACATGTGGAAGTTCCCAGGAGGCCTGTCAGAGCCTGGAGAAGATATCGGTGTGTATCTTACGTGTTTTCAATGGGCCTGAAAATGTTGAGGAAATTCATGTGTTTACTTCTTTGCTCTATAGTTCAAAATAAGACTAAATTTTCTAACTGGTTCAGACTAAGTAAAAAAATTTCAAAGAGGTTACCTCAGGGCTAATATAAAATTAGCAACAAAACTTGTAACATTAGAACTTATTTCCCTTAGTAGAAAAAAATGCCATCAGGAGCATACACCTGTTTTTCTCCTTAAGGCTGCTTCTAGAGTGACTTATTTGAAAGTGAGAAGTGAGAAGCTGTGGATATACATCAGTAAAGCTTAGCATTGAGGACTACTTTGGATATGACTAAAATTGTTGGAATTAAACTGTAAGAAAATACAAATTCTTGACCGTTTCATCACACAGGGTTGAATAGTAACTTTTAAATGAACTTTAAAACAGGTGTTATTTATAAAGTCAATTATAGAGCAGTTGTGATGTAATTCTTCTCTTCTTGAAAAATTTATCTACTATTGTGAATAGTTAGAAGCCAAAACATTGTGAAATATCTCAGATGAGAAAGTCTCACATGAGAGAGGTAACTCCTTAAAACAATTACTGAGTTCAATATTGAAGACAGGGAAATTTGAAATAAACTAAGAATTCTCAGTGTCACTGATTTTATAGGAAATAGATGAAAATATAAACTGAGTTTTCCTACCTATGCCTTACACCTCTAGTCAAATACAGCCTTTCATCATAAATCAATAGATAATTCATCTGATACCAGTATCATCTCCCCATGAATTTTTCCTCAAAATGCATGTCCTTGTTCTCTTTAGCCAACATTTATGTGAACACAGTTTCCTAAATTATCTTCAGATATTTTATATAAAAATGTATACATATCTGAAACATGATTTTTTAAAATGTTACACAGATTAAAATGCCCTATACATAGTATACAGCCAACTGTTAACAACCAGTAAGAAAATTTATTACATTCAGATAAACCCTAGCAAATTCTGGCTTTTAGGTACTTATTGACCCAGATTCTGCTGGGTCTTCTGTTGAAAAAAAAGAGGATTTGGTAGTGGTGTGAGTGTGGGAAGAGGAAGCCATTTATTCTCAAACCTAATTATCTTCCACTTTCCTTATGTGATGTATGAGAGCACGTGAGCTAGTGAAGCTTATGTTTGCATCTTCACCCAATCCACACCCGCAGGAAGCAGGCTACAGGTTAGCTTCCTCTCCAAGGAACTGACTTATTTCATTTGCATTCATTTTTCTGGGTCCTCTGAATTTCAGATATACTTATATTTAAATGTACATGAAGAAACACATTTCCAAGTCAAATAGTTAGGTTTAAGTGTACTCCAGAACCCTTCAAGTCCACATAGTTAAGAATTTACTACTTTTTAAAGTATTTGTGCTTGTCACAACAACCCACCTATCCAGAGATCATAGATACGCCTCAACCATGTGGAAAGAAGAAAAATGCAGCAGTTGGCATTCACCATACTTTCTTGGCATAGTATAAATTAAAGCTTTGCCTTAGAATGATAAAACCCCGAAAGCAGTTGGAAATGGCAACTGACAGTAGAGGCCTGAATGACTATGTCTATGCGTGGGCATTTCTGTTCTGTAATACAATACAATACCAGATACTTTTAATGATGAAGCCAAAATGTCCAAGAATTATTTGTTTTCCTTAAACCCTGTATTTAGGAATATAATATACTTTAGGAATACTGCCATCACCAATGTGCAAGCATTCATACTGGCTCATAAGTAGTAAACACAAATTAACTGGGAAACACACCTGTTTGCAGTCCTTCACTCTTTGATAATAGTAGATAAATGAAGCACTATTGTCCATAGTGTCTAAAAAGAATTAAGAGGAGCATATACAAAATGGAATGCAATCCTAAGGCTTTAATATACTACCCTAGGAGTACAAAGGTCTACATGGTAAAAAATAGAGAAATTGCCTTCCTAAAAAAATCCCATGACCCTGCCGGGGAGACCCCCTGCACGGCCCAAGGACTGAACCAGCTGCTGGTCCAAGTTCATTGGTGCCCTAGAGTCAGAGCGAAACACCAGGAAAACCCACATTCTGCACAATTTTTCCTATGATTTTATTTGATTTCAACCTAATCCTATCATTAAATATCACAAAATAGAAATAACAAATATAAACTCCATTTCATTATTGTCCTCTAACTAAACAAAACTCTATGACGTATTTAAACATATCTCTCAATCAGCAAAAATAAAAACATAACCCTCTTGGTTTGTCCTATGTTCTCCAAACCTGTAACACAGTAAATGGTATTTCAGTTTAGCTTACAGTACATTAAAATAACAAAGGTACAACAGAGTAAAGCACTTTATCCAGATAAAAAATTCAAAGTCATGGGTAAAATCTTTGGGAAAGAGATTTCCATCTTGAGGTGGAAGGGCTGTCTCATACCCTGGACACAAAAGCACTTACTTGCCCTTCCAATATTTTGTCTAGCCACTGCTCTGCTGATTCAAGAAACAGACTTCCCAGGAAGCACTGATTTGGGGTCCACTGCTCTGGTGACTGCTGAGCAGGGCTGATTCCCGGACTGGCCCCATCCGAGCTCCATGACATAGAAACAGGCTAGAAGGGGAACTAAAAGCCCAACTCTTGACTAGTGGTACTAAGAACTAGATAGGAACCCCCATGTTTAGTTTTCAAAGTGTTTAAAGAACACTTAACCAATAGTTACGTGAGACCAACCAATAACATGTAAAATTTAAGACTAGTGCCAGAATCTTTAACAGATTTAATAACAAATATGGATTCTGTGCCAGACTGAAGATTATTTTTCTTAGTAAGGAAATTTTCCTTTTTTAACATAAATTCTCTTATGTTTTTAGTTTAAAAATATAACTTCTAACCATGTGTAATCTGTGGCAAATGTCGAATATAAGGGGAATCAGCATGTAATTTTAAAATGGCAGACAAATGGCTTACATTTCAGAGCACCTTGCTCCTCCTATGCACACTCTGAGCTGTTGCTCAGGGAAAACCAGGGTGTAGCGTACCCAGGGAATTGGGAAGACAGTCCGGGGCAGAGCACACAGGAATGGAGACAGTGTCCTTGCCTTCCTCTTCCTTGCCTGTTCACCAGTAAGATTACCAAGGTTACTGACAAGGCAAATATAATTTCCTGTTTGACAAACAAGAAAAGGGGGGCGCTAAAGGGCCTTTGAACAAAAATCTATGCAACTATGGTGCTTCCCAGCAAACTGGTGAGGAAGGCAGCTGTTTTCAGGGCTTCTGAGGGCACTTTGGGAGATAAGGACAGCATCACAGAATTCGAGGAAGCCCACTGAGGGGGTTCATCTGGATAGTTAGAAAAAGCAGCCACCAGAATATGTTAATGGCAGTAAAAATCCTGCCTCATAAATTTGCGTGTTATCGGAAAATCACCCTTCTAAAATGTGAAAACCCTGTTGTAGTATACAGTTCTGTATCTCGCAAGTTTTTGGAAACCTCTGATGGAGTGACTGCAGCATCTGTTAGAGGAATGACTCTAAGTTCTTTGGAATCTCAGGAAACAAAGGAACTGCCCAAAATTCCCAAATGGGATGACATGGACTGGATAACTAGAAGAGCATAACAAACAGGTCGCAAAGGCAACTCCTCTGTGGTTTAGAGGCCTGACAGTCCCACACGCCCGCCCCAGATCACAGGCAGAGGTCTGCATCCCGTCGCAGTCTCTACACCCGCAGCCCTACATGTTCATAGGGAAGAGTGGATCGCTTTCTCTCCACACTGACAGGTACAAATTCAGGCAGTGCTGGTGGATGACCACGAACAGGTAACAATGAGGAAACATGTAGGAACAGTAACCGCAGCTTTGCAACCTATGTTTTCACCTTTTGGGAAATAGAGCAGGAAGAGGTTAAAAATATGTGACCCCCAAAACATACAGGTGGGTAGGCCCCTCAGTAGCAGCCAAAGAAATCTTCACTATTTCAAAAGCTTCTTAGGTGTACAATAGTAAGAAAATACTTTGGTATTTCAGGGTGTCCAGAAAGCACAGAGTTTATATCGAAAACTTCACTTTCTTGAAGGTTTGCTTCTGAACCTTTAGATAAGGCACTCTAACTGAAAACCTGTGGTGACTACTTTCTGAAAAATCCTCATTGGTTTGTATGTCTTTCTTTCACGCAGGAGACACAGCAGTTCGAGAAGTTTTTGAAGAGACTGGTATAAGATCAGAATTCAGGTCCCTCCTGAGCATTCGGCAGCAGCACAGCCACCCCGGGGCTTTTGGGAAGTCGGACATGTACGTCATCTGCCGCCTAGAGCCTCGGTCCTTCTCCATCCAGCTGTGCCCGCACGAGTGCCTGCGCTGCGAGTGGATGGACCTCGCTGACCTGGTCAAGGCTGCCAACACCACGCCCGTCACCAGCAGAGCTGCGCGGCTGCTGCTCTACGGGCACAGGGAGGGCTTCGACAAGATCGACCTGACCATGGAGCAGCTCCCGGCCGTTTACACGGGCTTGTTCTATAAACTCTACCACAGGGAGCTGCCAGAGAGTTACAAAACAATGATAGGGGTGGATTAAATCAAATTTACACATGTAAAAATTTTAGTAAATCGTACATGTAGATTAATGTGTGCCATGTTATAACAGTGGTGCACATTTTGGGTTAACTAAATATCTGACTTTAATTTTCTAATGTGTATGATTTCCATGAAGAAAATTTGCAAGTGTGCACATTTTTAAAGCCTCTTTTCGAATGGAGCAAATGTATGGAAAAGATTGTAGCACTAAGTAAGCGTTACTGGATAAAGGCAAATGCTATACAAAAGGTGGAAGTTTATACATCTTTCCAGGAATTCTTGTTGTTTTTCTTTACTAAAGCAATGGTTACATATTTTACTGTTAGATAAAAGCTTATCTAACCAGTTATACAAACAGCAAATCGTGCACACATTTTTTCTCTCATTAACAAATTTCTAAAATAGACCTCTTCGTTCATGTGAAACGAGATCAGATGGTGCCATTAAGATCAGCTCTTAGCAGACATTGGAAGGAAAAGTATGGCTTTCTGGCCAGGTCCTGTTTTGGGTCCAAGTTTATACTGCCCAGTCCGCTTCAATGCCACATACCAACTGGAGTATTTCCTTGACCGGTAAGTATTGTAGTTATTGGATTCCAACCGTTCAAAAAAGAAACACTCATCCGTAACACATTTCTGAAAGAAAAAGGAAGAGTCAGTAGTTGTTATTGCTGCTATTATTATTATACTTTTCATATTAAATATTTATGACAGTCCCTGCCAATTCTGCTCAACCAGCAGCAGTGCTACTGGGTTCGTCAGGACTAGCAAGACAGCAGGCCAGACTCTGACACAGTCCATCTCCACGGAAGGATGCAGGACAGCTTCCTTCCCTTCGGAGGCAGCCAAGGACCCTTTCTGTAGCCACCCACAGGACGGGTAGGTGTTAGGTAGCAAGGGCACACAGATGGTGTAGGAACCACACTAGTTCAGACTTGAAGTACCCCACGCACAGAGCTTTCAGGGCTGCCCACAAAGGGGTACACCCAGTACCAAGAACCACACTACACCCAGGACAACCCAAAGCTATGCTTCCAGCCATATTCATCCCAATCCAGAGGCAGGTTACCAATCTGGTCATGTTGACTTACCAGGGTTCCCATGAAACATTTATCCCAACTGTTTATCGAGGGGAGAGAATAGCTAGCTAAACAATTGTTAGATCTGGAAATACTATTCCAAGTAATCAAGTCTAATAGGCTGCCACATGATGTTCAAAAATCAACTTCATGCCCTGGCTGGTGACTCAGTTAAGCATTATCCTGGGCACCAAAAGGTTGCTGGTTAGATTCCGGGTCAGGGCACATGCCGGGGTTGTGTGCAGGAGGCAGCCGATTGATGTTGTGCTCTCGCATCCATTTTTCTCTCTCCATCTCCCTTCCTCTCTCTCTAAAAATCAATGAACTATTTTTAAAAAATCAACTGCAGCCCGGCCAGGGCATGGCTCAGCAGTTGAGCATCGACCTAGGATCCAGGCAATCAGGGTTCGATTCCCGGTCAGGGCACATGCCTGGGTTGCAGGCTCGATCCCCAGTCGGAGGCGTGCAGGAGGCAGCCGATCAATGACTCTCTCATCATTGATGTTTCTATCTCCCTCCCTCCCTCTCCTTTCCTCTCCCTGAAATCAATAAAGATATATATATTTTTTTTAAATCAACTTCACATGGTAGCAATGATGATATATATTGACCTCTGGGTCGGGAAGGAATCAACAAATGATTTATGAACTTTAAGGGAAGAAAGGAAAAATCATTTATTTTTTATATTACAAGTATAGGTAGATGAATAAACTCATATAGAAAGCCATATAATTTTACACATATTTCTACCTCCACATATAAATACCACATGCACACAAGCCCATGGCTTTGCATTAATGAGTGCACCAGATTGCTGCTTATGTCTATACACCCAAATCTAAGAAACTTCAGGACTGGGAAAACCCACATTCAAAAGACTTGAATCTTTTCCCACATTCTCTAGTTCCAAGATAAACTAAGCAATGGCACAAACTGTCAGAAAAAAACATAAATCAATAAGGAAAACAATGAAAAGAACTGGTGTAATAACCGAAATGAAAAGTAAGGTTCTAAGAGAGACCATACATCTCAGGAGGCTAAAGTGAGGGTGGGGTAGCAGGCCCTGTCGTCAGCTTCCGGTAGTGAGAATTTTACTGGATGTTTACTTGGCTTTAAGTTTTGATCACTGTTATGAACTTTTTAAAACTGAAACACAAACTCATCTAATTTGCCCAGTTTTTTCGCAACAAATTAATGAAGCAATGTCCTTCTGATGCAAATAAAACCCAGGTAGCCTTGCAGCTCTGTGTTGCTCAGAAAGACCCGGATGTGGTAACAGTGGGCATATCCTGGAGTAATGGGGCATCTAGAGTCCATACTTTCACTCTGTCTCCTGTGAAATGTATTACGCTTCTTGTGTTGACAAAAGTTAACCTGTGTTCCGTTGTCAGTTTTCAGCACCACCGATAAAAACCTTCCTCTTTCCCTATTCCAGGTTTGAGACCAGGAGTGGACGTGAGAGGAAGTAGAGTGAAAGGAAAAGTCATAGCAGTCATAAAGATAACACCGAAGGTTGTTATTGAGCGACACAGGCTAGCTCCCCAGAGGCAGACCTGACCCACATCCTCCCGTCATCAGGACACTGATAGGTTCATTTCTGGTGTTCTGTCAACTTCCAGGGCGCCCCACCTTGCTGTTGGCACTCCCTACAATGCTTGGCCTACAGGGATGCGTACCATGCCAATAATATTTGCCTTCTCTGCCAGTTCCTACTATTTCAGAGAAAAGAAACAGTACCAGGGATTAAGTGGACACTACATCATGGAACCCACAAACTGTTTTTACAGAGGTTACTTGTACCTTTACAAAAACAGTGCAGAAGGAAGGAAAGCTTGCTTCTGTGCCAAATGTCCAGACACGTAAGTTTACTAAACAACTTCTATGCACTTGAAAACAAACTGAAGTGTTTTTTCAAATGGGTGATAGGGCAAAATTCGCCTCTCAAGAAAAACAGGCGTTTCACAGCACCATGTAAGTACAATTTCAATTCTCTCCATTCTCAGTTACAAATCATCTTTGGTGACTGTGACCTCAATGTTTCTGTTAAAAGTTGATGCAATACAAGTTCTGTTAACCTTTACAAACATGTTTATAGAGCTTTTTTCCTATTCCCAATGTTCAACTGCTTACCATGTCAAACCTAAGAGAAAAAGGGGTCTCTGGAGGAATGACATCACAGAGGAAGTGGATAAGTAGCTTCTAAGGGCTATGACATGTACCTTGCTTCAAGGCCCGATTTTATGTAGGTTGTGAGCTGGGAAATCCCTTCATTCACAGTTACTGACTGCTTCCCTGTACATCATTTTACATAAATATCACAACAATTCTGTGACATCATTCTCATAAACTCATTAACAAATGAGGAATCTAAAACTCGATGCTCTTACTAACTTATTTCAGATTTTGGACATCCTTTGCCCATGTACCTATCTCACACCTTTTCATCAAATAAAATTTCCTTTATTTTGGTTTATTTTCATTTAAAAATAATGTTAAGATATAGAAAGCACACGGTTCAAATAGTACATTTATTCATTAATGTTTGTTTTTGTCTTCCGGGCACTGCAATTAGTCAGTGAGCAAAGCTGAACGAAGATCGTGCCTTTGTGCCACTCCAGTTCTAGCAGGTGGAGATGCCCAATGAGCAATGGGCATAACTGAGTGACTTGTATTCCAAAATAGAATAAATCCTGTGGAAAAAGTAAAAGCGAGCAGGATAAGGGGATGGGAGTGGGAGCAGTGGGTTGTAATACTAAATAGCTGTCACAGGAGGCTCCATTGAGACATTTGCGCAAATACTGGGAGGTGAAGGAGTTAACCATCCAGACGTGAGAGCAGAGCATTCCAAGCAGAAAGAGGGGACAGCGGATGCCAACGCCCTAGGCAGGATCAGGCCAATCAGGCCTGCAGTGTGAGGTGCAGCAAGGAGACCGGGGTGCATGCCGCCAAGGGTTTGAAGGGAGGGAAGTCGGACATGAGGTCAGAGAGGAAACAAGATAGGATATTGAAAAGCTATTGTAAATAGTCTTGGAAAATGGGAAACCACTGTAGGCTTTTGAGCAGCGAAGTGGCATGACCTGACATTTTCCCAGGGTTACTCTGGCTGCCAAGACCGCACTGGGCAAAGGCAGATGCAGGGGCACCAGTCAGAGGCAGATTCAGTATCACAGGCAGACTGAGTGGAGACTCAGACCACAGCGGTGGCCACAGGGATGAGAAGCTGTCTGCGTCTCACATAAGAGAATTCCAAATAACTTATGTATATACCTACCCCAAGGAGATGGAGCATAACCCCACATTCCTCAATGCGGACTGTGTACAATGACTTCCCTCCAAAGACAGGATAGAAATGGGGGGAGGGGGGTAAGGCCACAGTTCTCCCTGCCCTGTGCCACTAGGTCCCCGCCTGCTGCTAAATATTAGATCTGGACCTTAGGGTCGTTTCCCCGCGCTGTTTTTTGGGATGCTTATTCTTTTACAGCACTCTGATTTTGCAGATCTGGCTTATGAGGGAGTTTGCTCGGCACGAATCCAAAAATGCTTTTGCTTACACCACTTCTGAGAATTAAAAACAGACACAATGTAAGTATCAATGCTGACTATTTCAGAACAAACTCAAACACACAAATTGTGAAAAGTTAAATAGAAATTTGACCTTAATCTTGTAAAAAAAAAAA